ATGCGGGACTCGATCCCAGGACCCTGGGATCATGACCTGAGCCGAAGGCAGACGCTTAACCATCTGAGCCACCCAGGCGCCTGAGGAAATATTTCTGATAATTATATTTGAGAAACGGGAATAGTGAAGGGATGCAGGTGGCAGTAAGGTTTCTATACTGCACTCGATGTAGTGCAACTTCCATAGCAGGGGACCCCCAGGTGCCACATGTATGTGGTGGTGTCTAGAGAAGCCGCTAGGAAACTAAACACAGCAGTACAAGCAAAAACATTAAGTGGAATTCCAGAGGCCTGTTGGGAGATCTCATGGGGCACAAGAGAGGGAACAAACACAAATAATGAAATAGTAGATGGAAGCCCTAATCTGTCAATCACTTTATTTTTTATTTATTTACTTTTATTATTTTTTAACAGAGACACAGCGAGAGAGGGAACACAAGCGGGGGGAGTGGGAGAGGGAGAAGCAGGCTTCCCGCCAAGCAGGGAGCCCGACGCGGGGCTCGATCCCAGGACCCTGGGACCATGACCTGAGCCGAAGGCAGACGCTTAACGACTGAGCCACCCAGGCGCCCCTATCGATCACTTTAAATGTAAGTAGTGTAAACACACCAGTTAGAAGACCGAGATTGGCAGAGTGAAGAAAAACTATGACCTGACACTACGTTGTCTAATATATGCTAAAACTCACTTTGGCCACAATGACATGGGTGGATTGAAAGTAAAAGGATGGGAGAGGATATATCATATAAACATTAATTTTTAAAAAGCAGATTATAGTAATATCAGCCAAAGTAGACCTCAGAGCAAAGAAAATTTCTTGGAAAAAAGAGGGACATTACCTAATGATGAAGTGATCAATCAACCAGGAAGATCTAGCCATCCCAAGGATACATGCACCAAATGACAGATGTTCAAAGTATACAGAAGACTTCATATGAGGACTTCCCTACCCATTCTCAGCAATTGCTAGAATTACTAGACAGACACTCAGCAAGGATATAGAAGAACAGCACCATCAACTGACAGGATTAATGGACATTTGTGGAACACTCCACCCAATAATAGCAGAATACATTGTTTTCCAGTGCCCATGGAACATATTCCAGGATAGACCATATCCTGGGACATAAAACAGCCTTAGTCAATGTAAAGGGTTGAAATCCTACAGAATATGTTCTCTGACAAATGGAATCAAACTGAAAGCAGAGAACAAGGAATGCTTCAGATGTGGAAATTCAACAACACGGTTCTACTCAGAAATACAAAGGAATGAACTGCTGATATACACAACAGCCTGGCGACTCTAGGGAATTATGCTGAGTCAGACAGTCGTTGAAGGGTGACTAGCATGATTCCACTTACATGGCGTTCATGAGCTACAGCTCCGTGTTCTCTGGGGTTAGGTGCAACCATGAAGGTGCCTACAGGGCAGCTACGTGTGGTGACAGTACTTAAGCATCTTGGTGATGGGGGCTACACGGATGTTTAGGTGGTTTTTAAGATTTACTTATTTATTAGAGCGTGAGTGGGGGGAAGGGGCAAAGGGAGAGAGAGTGTGTGCGAGCGGAGGGAGGGGCAGAGGGAGAGAGAATCCTCAAGCAGACTCCATGCTGAGTGTGGAGCCCAACTCGGGGCTTGATCTCATGACCCTGAGATCGTGACTTGAGGTGAAACGAAGAGTCAGACACTTCACTGACTGAGCCACCCAGGTGCCCCCAAGTGTTGATTTTTTAACCCAATAGCAAAATATACAGACAAATCTGAACCCAGCAACAGAAAGAGAATAGTGGAGGTTAGAACAGAATCTAGGGAAATAGAAAAACAAACATACAATAGAGCATATCAATAAAACCAAGAGTTTGTTCTTTTAAAAGTCTAATAAAATAGATAAGTCTCTGTCAAGACTGGCAAGGGAAGAAAATGAGAAAGCACAAAATAACATGGAGTGTAAAGGGCTTATCCCTACAGGTTGTGAGCATTAAAACACACCAAAAGGATCATATAAGCCACTTTATCCCTCCCAAAGTATATGAAATGGAGGATTCCTGGGAAAATGTGATTAACGAAAACTATGTAAGAAGAAATAGGAAGGCAGGAGAGTCTAGTACCTAGTAAAGAAACTGACTCTGTGATTGAAAAGCTTCCCACAATAATGGCTGTAAGCACATGTGCTTTATTAACTGTAAAACATTTAACTAGGAAATAACTCTCATCCTAGACACTTCTCCACAACAGAAAGAGGAACCATCTCCCAACCCGTTTTGTGAGGCCAGCATCACAGTGACAGAGACATTACACAAAAGGAATATTATGGATTGACCTCTTTCATTGAACACAGATGCAAAAATCCTAAACAAAGTATTAACCAACTCAATCTGGAAATAAGGAATTTAAAAAGAATACATTGAGTTTATTCCATGAATACAAGGTTAATTTAATGTAAGAAATTAATGTAATTTACTGCATTAAGAAAAACTGAAGGAGAAAAATCACGGGATCATCTCAACAGGTGCAGAAAGAGCATTTGATGCAACGTGACACCTATTCAGGATAACAGCTTAGCGAATGAGGAATAGAAGGCACAACCACAAATATCCCGTAGCTAATGTCCTATGAGATGCAGTGGACAGGTTCCAAAGATGGCCACTGACGTTTCTCCCATGCCGCACATGTCCAATGTGAGCTGGCCTGCAGACCCACCTTGGCCCCTGGAACGTGGCAGAAGGGACGCGAGCCGTTTCTCTGCCCAGCACTGGAGAGAGCCGGCAGCGCCTCACACCCGTGGGAAGGGCTATCACTAAAAACACAAAAGACAGCAAAACAAAAAAAACCACCAGAAAGTGACAAGTATTGGCCAAGACAGGAGTAATTGGAACCTTGCTCACCGCCAGTGGGAAGGTAGAACCGTGCAGCTGCTGGGGAAGACAGCCTGGCAGCTCATCAGAAAAGTAAGCCTAGGACTCCCGTACGGTCCAGCAGTTCCATGTCCTGCTACGTGGCCAGAAGGTGGCATGCAGATACCTGTGTGCCCACGCTCACGGCACCGAGGGTCCACCGTGGGTGATTGCGCAACACGGTGGGGTCCGTCACACGATGGGCTGTAATTCAGCCGTAGGAAGGAAGGAGTGCTGACGTGGGCCGCAACGGGGACGGACCTCAAAAGCACAGTGTTCGGTGTGCGAAGCCAGACACACAAGACCCCGTATTGTAGATTCTACTTCTGTGAGGTCCCTGATGGGGACACCGTGGCCGGGGCGGTGAGTGTCTTCTGGGAATTCTAGAGGCCAGAGGGAGAGGGCCGAGCCCCCTCAGCGAGTTCGGGGAGGAGCTAGCAGACCCCTCTCCTTCCCCACCTGCTCGAAGCCGCAGAGATGCCTCGCTGGAGGAGGCCATGTTCCAACTCTCTAAACTGAGTCTGGACTTTCCATTACTTCCTAGTCCTGGACACTTAGAAAGACTGAGTTGACACTGGGTTTGTATCTTAACATAACCCTAGAACTTTGAATTCTCTCTGTTTGAGCCAAAATGTGATGGAGCTGTCCAAATGTGTATCTAGAGCAGGAACAGAACTTCCTCCATTGAATAAATACTAAAGAGCCAGGAAGAGCTAAGGAAAAAGTGATTTCCAAGTCTGTTCCGGAGTCTTGCTTGTTCAGTGTTCTGGTGACATATATTTTAAAGTGTGTCATTTAAGTCAGTATAATAAACTGATTTTAGCAGACAGCATGTAGTTGGTTCATTCATTATCTCATCCAACAAATATTTATGGGGTGTTCGACATTTCTGGGTGTCCTGTGAGGCACAGGGATACAGCAGTGAGTCAAAGCAGATGCATTTGCTTCTCATGGAGCTGATGGCCGGGAGGGAGGTCATTGATCAAATGTGACGGTGCCCTCGAGCAGTGGGACGTGGAGCGGGGGTGCAGGCGGCTCCAGGAGAGACTCTGGAAGTGGGGTCCGAGGCGCTGGAGCTCAGCAGGCACAGAGGAAGGAAATGCTGGCCTGGGGACGGAGGAGAGGACGGGGAGTGTGGGACCTCGGGTGGCCTGAAGATGTCACTGGCTTTGCCTCTGGACAGGTCTGAGGGGGCGAGTCAGGAGGCAGCGGGAGAGACAGGAGGTGGTGGGGCCTGTGGGCAGGGCCAGAGTTACTTTGCAGAACCTGCAAGATTTGGGGCTGAGGGGGAGGGCGATGTCCGGGGCACTCCGAGTTTCTGGCTTGGGTAACTGCACAGACGGCCCTTCCTTTCCCAGACGCACAAACACGGGGTGGCGGCCAGCCTCGCAGGGCGGGAGCGTCTGCTTTGCAGCTTGCGGAACTGGAGGCAGGCTCCGGTTATCTAACGTAGTGTCGACCCCGAGTCCGCAGCCTCCGCCTGTCGCCGAGTGATCTGGGGACGGTGGTTTCAGCTCTGTGATGGGTGGGCCTGGTCGAAGGCTGGGGCCTCGCTGGGAGGCGGCGATGCAGGCTTCCTCGTGGCTTGGCGGGTGGGCTCCAAAGGCACCCAGTGTTGCCTTTTAAATCTGGCCTCAGGCTGCGCCGTCACCGGCGCTCTGAGCCACACAGGCCCGCCAGGGAAGCTGAGGAGGGGTCGGAAGCTGGGAGCACGTGGGAAGGACACTGCCCGTAGGCCCTACCAGCTGGGCCTCATGCATCCTGAACCGTGAGCCTCCAAGAACTTCCCAGCGCCCCGGGGCCCCTGGCGCTCTGGTAAAGGGCCGTGGTCAGCACCTGGTGCACACGCATTGAAGCATCTGCCTGGTTTTGGTGTGCCACCCCCCATCTGGAGACCGTCTTAGTCCCAGTGGGGCATGAGGCCAACTCTTCCCCCACCACTGGCTCTCACTTCCTTGGTAGCTGGTGAAACCATTCCTGAGGTTTTGGGGGATTCTGTGGTGTGAACTGGGCTCTTGATGTTCACAGTTCACCATTCAGCGTTCTTGGTTCCAGTGAGTCAATGACGACTCTCCTGTCCTCCTTCAGGCTCCCAGAATTTTGTTAAGGTCTTCTCTGGGTCCTTCCAGTCCTCGAGGGCTTGTGCCTTTAAAAACAAAATCCCTTTGGGGCGCCTGGGTGGTTCCAGCTCAGGTCATGATCTTCAGCTCCTGGGATCGAGTCCCACATCGGGCTCCTTGCTCAGCGGGGAGCCTGCTTCTCCCTCTGCCTCTGTCTCCACTCGTGCTCTCTATCAAATAAATAAAATCTTTTAAAAAATCTCTTTATTGTGATTTTATTGTGGTTTGTGGAGTGAAAATAATGGGTGTTTTGAATTCCCCGTCTTTTCCAGGAAGATTTAAAAATTTTAATAGACAGAAAGTTACTTTTGAATAGATAATACATGCATTTGGTGTACAATAGGAACGGCACTCGAGGACATGGTCACTTTAGGACTTCTGCCCTCCCTGCCCCTCAGGCCACTTCTGTCCTTCAGGTCTGGCTAGAGGTATCCTGTGCCCAAATCTACATGAATCCATGTGTGTGGATTGTAAAGTCCCCCCTTTTTTTTTTTTTAAGGTTTTTAAATTTATTTTAGAGAGAGAACGCGTGAGTGGTGGGGACGAGCAGAGGGAGAGGGACACGCAGACTCTGCACTGAGTGCAGAGCTGGACACGGGGCTCGATCTCACGACCCTGAGATCATGACCCGAGCTGAAACCAAGAGTCGGACACTCAACCGACTGTGCCCCCCAGGTGCCCTGTGAAGTCTGGTAGCATGCACGCCAAGTTTCATACCATGGTTTTTGTTTTTTGTTTCACTTAGGAACATACGGTGGAGCTAGGTTAGTGTTGGCTCAGAGCTGCCGTGTCCTTTTGAACAGTTGGGTGACACTCCACTGTCCGAATGCGCCGCTGGGTGTCTCATCAGGCCCTTGTTGATGGATACTTAGTTTTTCCTCCCACTTTTGTTATTTCATGTGTTTCTGTGCACCTGGGCAGGCAGATACATTTACCCACGACCAGAAAAATCCGTGAGGAAGGATAGTCACCGCAATATTGATTTTTTATCGCGTTATCGATAAACCCAGCGACGTGGAGTTGCTGGGATGTGTGTGTTTGAATCTTGGCTCGAGGTCCTCCGCATGGGAGTCCGAAGAAGCTCTGCTGGAGCCGTGTTTGCGAGGCCCGTTTCCCGCACTCTATCCGCACAGACTTGGGCCAGCCTCCCAGAGGCACAGGGCACCTCCGTGGACTTTGAATTTGCACTGTTCTTAGTTTGAGTGTAGCTGGGTGTCGTCTTCCTCTAAGGAAACCAGCCCTTTGTGATAGGTATGGCAAGCACACTTCTTGTTTTGTTTTATTTTGAACGTGTGAGGGTTTTTATGCACAAAGTTTTCATCTTTATAGAGTATTTGGTTTTTACATTCACGGCCCCTTGATGTCGTGGTAGGACAAGGAAGGCCTCGGGTGTCCCGAGATCGTAAGACATTTCCCAACGCTTCTTCCATTGCTTTTATATTTAAGTCCAGAGGCACAGGTGACTTTATTCTCCCCAAACTAATTATTGAACTATTGTTATCCCCGCAGATACGCAGTGCCGCCTTTATCACATACAGAATCCCTGTAAATATTGGTTTGGGTTTATTTCTGGGCTCTTTGTTCTGATCCCTTAATGTTTGTTTGTTCCTGTGCCAGATTCATAATATTTTAATTCCTTTATCCCTATAATGTATTTTCATATATGACTTTTCTGAGTATTCACGCCTCCTCTGTCTGAGTCTATCCAGGTTGCCGTGACAGGGACACCACACGCTGGGTGGCTTATGAACAACAGACATTTCTTTCTCCTCACTCTGGAGGCTCTGTCCGAGACAAAGGGCCTCTTGTGATGTCCACACACCGCAGCAGAGGCGAGGGCGCGCTCTGGGGTCTCAGTCATGAGGGCACTGATCCCATCCGGAGGGCCCCGCCCATGAATGACTCACCCCAAAGCCCCCTCCTAGCACCCCAACAGAGTTGGGGTTTAAGCAGGAGTTTTGGGGTGACACAAGCATTCAGCCTATAGCATTCCTGCAGTGGTTTCCTCCTCGTCCAGCACCAACCCAGACACAGGGCTGGGCTCTTTCCCGGATTCCCCCCGTGACAGGCTGCGTGCCGGTCACCACGAACTTAGGGGCTTAAAACAACACACACTGATGATCTCGAATGTCTGCGGATTGGAAGTCTGGGTCCTCTGGTGGCTACACTCGAGGCAGCACCGGGTTCTCCCCCGAGGCTCCATGGGGTGTCTGCTTCCGTGCATGCTATCGGGACGCCGCTGCCGGGGGCCACACCCCAAGGCCACACCAGGGAGCGTGCATGATCAGAGTTCGCTGACATACGGTGGCAATACTGGTGTGAGATTTTACGTCTCAGACCTACCTGGTGAGCATTGTGGAAGCTGAAAATTAGTACTGTTCTTATAACGTCTCCTGCTGCCTCCTCCCCGGGGAATTTCTCGCCGATGGCAGTTTCTTCAGAGGTGTGGAGCTTGAGGGGTGGTTTCCGCCTCTCCCTCGCCTTCTCTTCCTCTGTAGCTCACCTCTCTCTTACCCTGTGGCCCCGTCTTCTGCATCCCTCCGGGGCCCTGCCCGTGTGTACTGGGGACGGGACTTAGATCTCTCCCTGAGGAACGGCTGTGGCCCTGAGAATAATAACCACTGGTGTTCACGGTCACTGGACCCCTGCTGCGTGCTCCTTCCTGTACCTCCTGCCTCAGGTAAAAGCTGCACTTGAGTAGCATCCGCCTGTTTGAGATGGGAGGGTCTCTTCCAGGAGGGTTCTGGCTCCCAGGTGTCATCCCAGAGCGAGCCCTTGGTAAGCAGCAGTCAGCCGCCTCCTCCACCCTCTGCCCCCTCAGGGCTTCTGCGTGCTGCCCAAGGCACCATGCACACGGAGCGGTCCCCTACCAGGCCCATCTCAGACCACGATACTCTGCCACCTCTCCAGAGACCCGGGTTGGACGAGTAGTCTTCCTTTCTGCATCGCAGAGAATGTTTGTGTTTGTCTCCGTGCCATGCAGACTGAATAAAGAATACAATGAACAGCGCCCATGCCCATGTGCTGCTCTCAGTATCAAGCCAACAGACTCACCTAGTTCTTGTGTGGCACTTGCCACGAGAGCTACAAAGTCCAAGCAGCCCCACCCCGTCTGGAGGTGCGGTGCCCCAGGGAAGTCTTCCTGCAGAAGGAACACTCAAGTTGAATCTTGGTGGGTAAACTGGAGCGGGCAGAGGCAGGAGTCTGGGGGTGGGTAGTGGTTAAGAAAGAATGTGGCTTTGAAGTCGGGTCTTTGCAAGGCTTGGTTGCCCAGGTTCTAGGGGTGAAATAAAGCCCCCCGCAGCTGGGGAATGTGCATAGGTGGTCCTTCCCTGCGGGCGGAGGGGACATTCTCAGACAAGCACGATTTATTGGGTAACCTGATACCAGGGGTATGTTTTCGGTGGAAGGATGTGGCTGCTCAGACACCCTACAAAAGACAGGGTTTGTCACTGTCCAGTGGGGAGGTGACCTGTGAATGCCAGCATGGTGCTGCCCATGGTTTTACAACCAGCTCTGTGAGGGACATTCCTACCATCCTCACGTAAGGGCGCTGGCCACTGCTGACAACCTCCCCCCACATTGAGGGCAGGGGCTGGGGAGGCAGAAAGGAGTCCCGGATTGTCTACCCGAGTGTGACCTGTCCCTTTCCCTTCACACAGGCAGGAGGAAGTTGGGCAGTGTCAGCTCTGCTGCAGGGGCATGGCTG